ATAATCTAAAAAATAATATATAACTATAGAAAATTTATGACAATAAATAAGTTAAAAAAATAATTATATTTTCTATGTTTGAAAACATGAATTTTTAATATATATATATATATATATATATATATATATATATATATATAAAGTAGAAAAGCTTACATAAACAAAATATATGAAACATGATTTATGTTTGTGTTGAATAAACTTAAATGTTAATGTAAGTGTTTTAATTATAAAGGTGAAAATGTTAAAAGTCCATAATTATGTGTCTTTAATTATATATAATTAATAATAATTTAAGGTTTGGAATAAAAAAGTTAAATTTTAGTTTATAAATTCACAGTTTTGTTGTTTAATCAAGTGTGTTGAATAAGAAATGAATAAGAAAGTGTTGAGTTGAATAAGACTCTATATAGGTTGAAGCAAGCTCTATAAGAATGAAATATTTGTATAAATACTTATTTTAAGAAGAATAAGTTTGAACAATGTCCTTACATATATGTTCTTTACGTGAATAAAAGTGAAGGTAGTATAGTGTTTTATTGCTCTTTATGTGGATGATCTTATCTTTATAGAAAACGACGATGATATGATTCAAGAGTATAATGACAAGAGAATTTGAGATGACAAACGTAGGATTGATGAAGTTCTTTCTTGGTCTAGAAGTTAGATATGGCAAAACAAGGATATTTGTGTCCCTAGAAGCATATGCAAAACAAATATTGAGTAAGTTTAAAATAATAAGTTGCAATCCTGTTTCAACATCCATAGAATTGGGTACAAAACTTTCTCGGTTCGATGGAGAAGATCGAGTTAATGCAAACAAATATTGGAGTTTGGTAGGAACTCTTTCTTATCTCACATATATAAGATTGGATATGTTGTTAAACATTAAAATTATAAGTCAATTCATGGAAGGATCGAGCTATACATATTGAAAAACATTAAAGTGAATATTGATATATTTTGAGCAATGGTATTACTCGGCCTATTCTATACAAGGTAAAAATATATAAGTTGGTTAGACACTCAAACAGTGATCGGTGTAAAGATTTATATGGTTAGAAAAATATTCCAGGATATATATTTTTCATGTGTAACACAAATTTTACTTTATTTTTAAACAAACAACCAATAATAACACTTTCAACGAAATAAAATATGTAATATGACTTAAAAATTTATTGAGCAAGTTGAGCCTACAACAACATAACGATATTGTGATATAAGTTGATAATTAAGTTAGCAAAGAACTTAGAGAAAATGTGAGAAAAGTAAACATATTATTGATATTCATTTTTACTTCATTCGATAACTTATGAAAAAAAAAAATACAAAACTAATAAATATGACAAACTGAGATCAAGTTGCAAACTATTTTATAAAGATATTGTCAACAATGTTATTCAATAATTTCATGTAACTTATTGGGAATAAGGATAGAAGAAATATTTAAATTTATGAGAAAATTTTGTTAAATAAATTTAAATATAAATTTAAGCATTTTAATCTCACAATTTTAATTGTAAGGGTTAAAAGTAAAAAAAAAAACAGTAAATATTAATAATATAACTGACAAAAATTTAAGGCGTGAAACTAAATGTTAAATTCTAATGTATAAATTCACATTTGTATTGATTCAATAAAATGTGTGGAATGAGAAATGAATTAAAATATTTATTGAAAGACTTGTGTTATTTTATGAAAGATAACACGAATGATGGTAACTACGTGTGAATATATTATATTCCAAAAATATTTTTTTATTTCGCAACCCAACTATGGCGAGATTATACACCATCCCATACAAATTAAACACAATGTTAGTTTACGTAATTTCATGATGATATAATTAACTTCATAAAATTATCATTAATTAATTATATGCTGAACACTATAAGAAATTTTGATATTACCGACGGTCAAAATCCATCGGTAATAACAAAAATCCGTCGGTAATATCCATTTACCAACGAATTTTCGACGGCCAAAAATCCGTCGGAAATTTGGTTGTCTGTAAATATTACCGACGGATTTAATAGTCCGTCGGTAATTACCGACGGATATATCCGTCGCTAAATGTTTGACGAAATTACCGACTGGACGGAATCCGTCGGTAATATTTTTATTATTTATTAAATATTTTACTTATATAGATTATTTATTTTATAGAATACCCCTTTCCTTTATATTTTTATTATTTATTATTAATTATTTTTCCCTATTACAATTTTATAGGCTTCAATTATTATGTACCTTAGAGTTAGAGGCCGATACTCCAACCACTAAGCTACTAGAATTTTTCGATAATAATTTACAAATAAATTATATTTATATACAAATATATTTATATATTTATATATTTATATATTTATATATTTATATATTTATATATTTATATATTTATATATTTATATATTTATATATTTATATATATATATATATTTATATATTTATTTATATATATATATATATTTTTTTATATATATATATATATATATATTTATATATATATATATATTTATATATATATATATATATTTATATATATATATATATATTTATATATTTATATACTATTAAATATTTTTATATGTTTTTATATATTTTTATATATTTATATATAATTAAATATTTATTTTTTAAAATTATTTAATTTAAGAAATTATTATAAATTAATCTAATTTTGATTAAATGAAATTATTAAATAAAAAATATTAAATTTTTTTAATTAGTTGAATATTTACTAATTGATAATTTACTGATCGGAAATATCCGTCGGTAATTTACAGAATGAATTTACCGACGGATATATCCGTCGGTAATTAATTATTAATTTATCGACGGATTTATCGACGGATATATCCGTCGGTAAATTCATTTGTCAATTATCGATGGATTTATCGACGGATATATCCGTTGGTAACTAATTATTATTTTACCGACGGATATATCCGTTGGTAAGATCAAATTTCACAAATATTTTATATCCGTCGGTAATACGCGATTTTCTTGTAGTGGAATATGTCTATTAGTTATTGAAAAGTATTTGAAAAATATTAATAATGAATAATTTTGTCAAGAAAGACTTTTAATGATTCCAATTAAATTGAATACTTTCGGTATTGGGACAAAATATCGCATGTGGAAGAAGTGGTAGCATCAAAGTGTCCAAATCAATGTTTGGCCCAGAAAAGATTGATAGGAAAGAAGACATAAGAGGGTTGTTAAATAAAAACCATCACAAATTGTGTTACCTCTTTTCTAAAAGAAAATGTGATATAAAGTTATATATGTTATGGTTAATATAATGATAGGATATAATACAAATTATTTAAAAAATGTAAAAATTATTATTTTGTTAAGATTACACATAATTATGTCAAAACATTTTTAAATTTTTTTAAAATTATTAATACGTCTATATATATAAAAGATTTTTTTAATAATTAAATTATTATTTTTATTCCAATATATTTTTTAAAATAATAAATAATAATTGTTTTATTCTTAATATTTTAATTAGTAATATACTTTAAATATAATTAAAATTATTCTTAAGACGAAAAGATGTAATAACATATTATTTTGATTAAAGATATGATAATATTATAATATATAAATAAATACAATTTTTATATTATTGATTTAATTTTATAAAATTGAGTTAGATATTTTATTATTTTTAAAATAGTATGAGAATTAATTCTAACAGTATTAGAAGATGATAAATCTTTTTTGAAATGAGAGAATGTGATAAAAAAAATTTTATTTTCTCATCAAAATAAAGAGGTAGGATGAAATCTAATATTGAATAAAATTATATATATATATATATATATATATATATATATATATATATATATATATGTGTGAAGAAGACAGTCATCACTTTACCAAATTGGTTTTATAAAATTGAATTTAATATTCTACTATCTATTTCTAAGATATATATAATTATTATTATAAAAATACAAGAAAATATTATAATCACTTTAAAATTCATAAGATTATTCTTAATAAAAAATTTAATAAATTAATAATATATATATATATATATAAATTATCTATAATCTTTTAATCTCTTAAGATGTAAAACTTATCTAAGTATAAATCATGTTACATTCTAATCCAGTTTTCTTTGAAGTTAAGAAATATCCTATGCCATCATGACTAAATATAAAGAATGATTCTATCTTATTAAACAAACAAAAATGCTATAATAACCCAATAAAAATTCCCTAAGATATCCTCTATTTATAAAAAACAACTTATTATTCTAATCAATTCTATCATATTAAACCACTAATGTCCTTTTAAGTTTTAGAAACGTAGCTAGTAGAAATAGTTCTGCTACTATATATTGAGATTCACACATTCAGATGCAGGACACCTAGATTGTGAAGGATTTGGCTTCTACTACTCATGAAATCTCAATCTCAATCTCAGTTTATTCTTCAGACAGATATATATGCTTCATATTTAATCTGCTTCTGTTATTTTTCTTTCTGTCAACAATATGAAATGTCATTGATTATTAGTTTGCCCACGTATAACAGCTACATTATGTAAAACCTTCAACTGCGATAAAAATTTAGGAACTATATATTTCATTAATTCAGAGTTGACATACTTGAAGATCAATTCAATTTCTTCGATTAAGTGTTTGATATTTTAATTTTATCATAGTTGTGCCAGTTACACTCAGTATATGACTGTCCACCATTGTAACATAATCAATTATAGCAAGTGAAAGATGAACAAAGTAATCTATCCAAAAAATTTAGTCTCTAAAGAAGGCTGCTTATACATCCTTGAAGAAAGCTACAACAGCAATGAAAGAAAGGAAAGAGAAAAGAACATTACCAACAGATTTCATGGACCCACTTTCTCAGATGATCTTGTCTTCTGGAAAAACATCATTAGAGTCACCAAGCCATTTTGGGTGGAAGCAAAATAAATTAAACTAATGGAAGTAAAATAAAAGAAAGACTTTGTGCATGTCAAAGATCAAGGCACTTACTGCATTCTTTTGCATGACATAAACATTTTAACCCTACACCACAGTCGCCATTAGGCTTTTCACACTCCTTACAAAGATCTTCTACATGATTTGGCACATCAAAGGACATCCATGTTCCCAACACATCCTTCAGCTTCACCATTCGAGGATTTTCTGTGTATCCAGCTATAATGAGAGCAGTTCAAATGTTTAGGATGAAATCCCTTGTCAACCTTTTAAAGATCATCAATAACTAAACATGAATTTGGATTCTTCTCGTGCTCTTGAATCCTAGATGTTGAAGTAGCAGGTCCATATTTATGTAACAAGCCTTTGCAATTTCGGATAAATGGTGGAATGGAATCTATTGTGCTCGAGCAGTTGAAAAGAAGGAGTGAGTTAGGTTCTGGAGGAGAAGGAAAGCCAGCAGTCACAGCCAGAGGAGAAATGTAATGGTGAGAAGAAGAACAAGGGTGAGATATGGTTAGCAATCTAGCATTATAGTCAAGTGAAGAAACTTGGAAAAGTCCAAGAGATGTTCTCAAGAAGAGATTCTGAGATCTGCATATGGTGATGTTACTGAATAGGGATGTAATAGAAGAGTTTGGATTCAAGAAAAATGATTCAGGTTTACTATCACTGCAGTAGTTGGTATGATTATGCTGTCCTATAGGGGTACATAGAGTGTTATGGAAGATGAGCAAAAAATGGAGAAGTTGCAGTTTCTTGAATGGCCTCATGTTTTTCTCTTTTCGCTATAAACGCAACTCACGATGCTTCAATTATCAAATTGTGAGTTCTATGGGGTATTTTATCTCTGAGAATGACACTAGATAACAATGCATAAAGTTGGATTTGGAGAATCTTCTACTTTGAAATCAAGTTGGATCCATGTTCATAGCTTTTAAAAAAAGGTCTTATGGCATTTACCGGAATCATTCAGCTTATACTTTGGTGATTTACCATGTCTTTTACATGGAATACAACTTAGATCCATTTTTTCATAGTATTGCTTTTCATCAAGCTATGCATGTTCCACATCATTGATTCTCACTCTCTGCCATGTAAAAGTTGCTTTTCTATTTAGGCTTTTTTAGGTCAGGTAGTGATGTTACAATTTGTGTCTCAGATTTTCTTTTATTTTTTTAGGGCCAAGAAATATATTATGGGATGAAACAAAAACTAATGGCGATCCCCAATGCCAAATAATCCTAGAAGTATTCATCAATTATAAGGTAAAAAGAGTTCATCATTAGAATTCATAATCCATAAAACTACGAGTTCAAATTCATGACAGAACTACAGATAGCAAACACAAGCAAAAACATACACTAAACAAATTTGAAAGGGAATTTTCATTGCTGGAATGTTATCTTTAGGATCATGCTGGGGCCTTGACAAGAGTAGATGGGAAATCCAGCAGCACAATGTTCTCAATAGCTGCTGAAAATTTTGTGGAGAACTCAACATGATTTGGGTGACTTTGAAAGGCCACAAAGTCTTCTTTCTTGTTGAATGTCATTAGGAAGGCATGAGTGAAACCTTGTCTCAACACATCTAGGCTTTCAATGTCCTGTCCCCTGTTCAAGATAAAAGCTAAATACAGTAAATTAAAATGAAATTATAAAATCTTCAACTACTTTTGCTTATTTTGTTATTTTAAAATCCTAAAAACCAACATGATATAATAGGATTCTTAGATGATTAAATCTTTAAGAATGTTGTCAGAGATTCAGTTCTTATCAGGTTTGTGTGTATGAAAGAATATTTATTTGAAAGAAATAAACTTTTAACTAAATCTCAAAACTTTAAGAAATTAAAACTATGACTTGGTATAAACGAAAAGTAGTTCATAAGAACATTTATATTCTTCTACAAAGTACAAGGTAACAAACCAGAAACATACCATTCAAAGGACTTGACAGCATCAATCTCTGAGACCAACTTCTCCATCCCTTTTGTGAGCTCATCAACTGCCACACCTTCCTTGAACTTAACAATTACAAAGTGTTTAAATTCCCCCATTGCTAGCATACCCCAAAGCTTGTTCCCAGCAGCCAAATATATATTCACAATTTGCCTCACCTTCTTGATCTGTTCATTGTAAGAACCCCATGACTCCTTTCATTCCTATAATAATCAATTTAGAAAAGAAAAGAAAAGAAAAAAAAGTGATAGGAGACAGCATCCACAGCTCAATCTAAGGAAAGGTACTGATACTTTCACCTTTAGACCCACCAATGCAGAACTTCTTTCCATGCCATAGTAAAAATTGTCTGGTGCCATTGTCGTGGCACATGAATGGGTCCTTGGTGTCACCACCCTAGACAAGTTTGAGTGAAAATTGGCCTCATTTTGAATCACAAAACATCATGATTATACCTGGAACAACTTTTCTTTCTTCACTAGCTTTTTCTTTTGTGCTATATGTGTGCAGAAAAGTTGTGATAGATGCTCAACTTTTATCCATGTCCTTAGCATGTGCACCGCCTTCGTAAATTATTGGCCTTGGATGGGGGCTATCCTTCTACTTCTTCACAATTTTTACTTGTAACGTGGTTTATCATATTCGAACATTTGTCCCATCCCTCTTAGGAAGGTTTTGGTATAAGAATCTTGTACACTATCACAGATCTCGTTAGTTCTGATATCACTAATAGATCTTTTAAAGATATAAACTTAACTCACTTCAGAGATTGAAACCATCTTCCATCTAATACTTACAAACTTTGACTTATAAATTTTTCTTCTTTATATTCTGTTTAAGTTTTTCATTTTTAAACAAATTTTTTCTATTGTAAGATTAAAACTTCACTATTATTATTCTTTATAAATGAATTATATGAATTAACTTAATTTTTTTATAAGATTAAAACTTCAATATTATTGTTCTCTGGACATTAATCATGTAAATTAATTATCTATTTTTATATTTAGTGACCAAGGAGTGGTTCATTTATTTTACAACAACTTTTTAAGACAATTTTTAACAAATAAATAATTATTAAAAAACATGCATGCAAAAAATTGACGATGAAAAAGTTTGTACACTGTACACTAATAAAAAATTGTCATGTTTGCATGGAAACTAGTATTTTATATTTTATATAATTAAAATTTATAAGAAATAAATATTTTTAGCAGATCAATTATATTTTAAATTTATGATAAACAATTTAAATTGTTATACAAACTTATATTTTTATTAATGATATTTTTTAAATATATTAAAATTTAATAAAAATATATAAATTAAAGCATAAATAGAAAGAGATACAAATATAGTTCATTATTTTTTAATTTGGTCAGAATATTTCCACACCTGTTTTTTCCAACATGTTGATTAGGTTAGATTTACCATTTCTATGAATTTTACCAGCTCTACTTAATTTTTCATCTCAATTTTTAAATCTATGTCTACCATGACATTATTATTAAGTTTTTTTTTTAGATTAAAGAGTATTAATTATTATTATTTTTATTTCACATAGAAAAATATAAAATAATAAATGATTAAGAGATAAAATAAACACAATTCTTTAATGTTATTTAACTAATTATTTTCTTTTATAAATATAATATTTATTTAATTAATTTTTTAAGTTATATTAACTTCAATATAAAGTCTATATAATAAAATTAGATTTTACAAACTCTTCACTAAACTGAATCCTAGTGTAAAGGATGAAAACCAATCAAATCAATAATCCGAGTGATGGTATAATATAAAACTCATATTTTATATAAAACAGATAGAAGTATTTTTTTATTTATTATAAGATGAACCTCTATTAATTATTATTATTATTTTTATTATATTCTTGTTTTATTGTAAAATATATTAAAGGAATTTCATGTAAGTAAATGTACTTACTGACCTAATAAATTTAGAGTCTGGTTAATGAGTGTATTTAGGACATTGGTTAAAAATATGAAAAGAACTCATTTATAAATCATGAAAAGCATCATGTTATGAATCTCAATGAAAAAAGAAAAAAACTTTTATTAATTTCATATTCATTGATGGGAAAATTGATTTCTTGAATTATATATAATATTATTAAACCATTTAACTATTAACTATATGTTAATACTTAAATCATTCATCCCAACCAGTTAATTTATTTATTGTATGAAGGATGAGAGAAATATGAAATTGTAGTATATTATAATTTTATAAAATTAAATATTAAAAAGAAAACATAATTTTATAATTTATTCATATTTAACATATATATATATATATATATATATATATATATATAAAGTTCAAATAATTTATACAGCAATATTTAAGCTTAAAATTCAATAATACTCTATAATATCCACTGAAAATATAGAATAAAAATTGAAAATATGTCATTGATTTTTCATTTTTATAAGAAATATAACTATTATTTTCACTAATTTTTTTATGGATTATTTCAATTCTTCTATCCATTTTTTTCTTTAATTAAGTCTTATGACTTATTTTACTATACTTTTGACAAGGCCACCATTTGATTTGTTTGATTGGTGGATTCGGCTTAATTTTCACATTTCTAATAACTAGTGCAGAGTACATCCTTCTAAATAATTAATTATGAGTGTTTAAAAAAACTTGAATAGGATATATCTGATTGAACCAATTTAATTGAGAATTTGTTAAATATTTTTAAATAATAAATTTTAATTAAATTAATATATAAAGTTTAAAAAAAATATAGAATTAATTATATTTTTAGATTGAATCCATTTTATTTTAAAAAAATCAATTTTTGTCTATTTTCTTTAAATAATTTTTATAAAAATATAAGTTTTTTTTAATATTTTAAATAATATTTATTTTATTTTATTATATTTATATTTATATTTTATTATATTTATATTTTATTTTTATTATATTTATATTTTTAACATTAATTATTATTTACAACAACGGTAATAATAATATTCATTATTGTTATTATAAATTAATCTTTTTATGAAAATATTTTTATTATTAAATTTATTATATTATTATATAATAAAAATAATTATTTTATTAAATTTGATTAGTTCTCATTAAATTTTAAATTTATATCTTTATTAATTTAATAATCAATCCAATTTTTAAAATATTAAAATTATAATAATACGTACTTCATAAATAAAGACGTTAAACTAAAATAAATATATTTAATATTTTAAAATATAAAATAGATTGAATACTTATCATAAAAATGAGATAGAAAGATTAGTAGAACATGTTATAAAGAAGACTTGGAATCACTGAATCAAATGAACTACAATGAGAGATTCTTACTTGAGTGAGATGGTGGAAAAAATGGACAGTGATACTTTATTTTCAAACAAATTCTCGTACAACTCCTTCTTATTAATATAATAATAATAATAATAATAATAATAATAAAATTTAATAAAAATAAGAATACATGTATATTATTATTATTATTATAATATTAAAAAGTAGAATTGTATAAAATTCAGATGTGAAACAATAAATGTTTAGGAAAAAAATTTGGATTTTTACTGTCATACTAAAACATATAATATATAATATTATTTTATTTATTATTACTATTCTTATTCAAGATTTTTTTAGTAACAATTATATTCACAGCGTGTTTATGAACAATACATTTTCATTCTAAATATATCACCTCACTTTTAAACAAGTTATATTAATTTTTTATAAAAAAATTAATGATTAATTTTTGCACATATTATATTTTTTTAATTTTTTCTCTAAATGTTACTTGATAAGTTAAAAATAATTTAATTATTATAATTAAGTATTAATTAAATATAATATTTTAATTTGAGATGATGATAAACTTAAAATAGAGCTATAATTTTTTTAAGAAAAGTCAGTTTTAAAATTTTATAAAGATTATTTTTTAAAATTAAAATTGATTTCTCTTAAAAATCATAAGTTCAAAATTAAAATAAATTAATTTTAAAGAAATTTAAAAATATTTAAACAAATATTATATATTATTATAATATTATTGTTATTTTATAAATAAAATAAAAATATAATTTTTATTTTTATATAAAATTAAGATACAAAATTAAATTTATATATTTTTAATAGTTATATTTTAAAAAATTAATTATTGAAGTAGTTGAAAATATATAAATAATTTTTTTAGTAAATTCTGATACAGTTATCTGTAAGTTATAAATACTTTTTTATAAACTAGTTGAAGGTGAAGATGCTTTTAGTCAAAAATAGTTTTTATTTTTAATAACTATACTGTAAAAAAAAATAGTTTAAAACACAATTGACCTAATCATGTAATAATTTCTACAAGTTAGAAAAGTGAGAACTTGAACCATAAAAAATCACATTAAATTAGAGTAAATTAAATTTAATCACACATCCAAAAATAAACTTGTTATCCATGATTTACATTAAATTATTATTTTTGTCTTTATTTGCAATACCAACATTGCTTCCTATTATGGTGGTGAAGAATTTGATATGTTCAAAAATTCTTTCAAGTGGATTTCTTCCTTTCTCTTTAAATGTAATGCAAACTATATTATAATTAGCTAAACTCTAGTAGAAAACCAGAAAATCCTCAACTTACAAACTATAATTTAACCTAAGTAAGTCTCTGAATAACTTTAGGTAGAATCTGCAGTCTAATGTTGTTATGTCCAGAGAGTGAGGTCTGTTTCACAGTCAACCTCGTCCCAATCAAATCTCTTCATTGAAGGTGGAGTAACGAGAAGACCCTCTGCCATACTATCTAACAAGCCTGGCATGTTATAAAGAGCCTCTTCATCAAAAAACACTGATTTGTTGGACTCATCATCGTTATTCACTGTCACGGCAAAATCTTCAACACCCTCCACCGAACAATGGTTAGTTTCAATTGCAACCCTTGAATCAGTTGAAGAAGGGTTGGTTGGTACAAAATCATTGCAAACTTGTGCTGCAGCTAGTCTAATATCTGCAGCTGAAGATGACTTTGCAACTGGAAGAAGAGAAACCGCATCAGGAAAATTGAACACCGCGGAGGTGCCGTTAAGTGCTAGGACAGCCACGTCATGTGCCCTAGCTGCCATTTCCGGCGTAGAGTGTGTCCCAAGCCATATCCTTGCTTTATTGTTCGGTTCACGGATTTCACACACCCATTTCTCACCGTTTCTCTGACGAACTCCTCTGTACACTGGATGGCGTGTCTCTCGGAACTTCTTTCTCCCGGCTTTCCTCTTGTGAGATCTCAACGCTGGGTTTGTTGCTTGTGCATGCGATGATGAGTTATCCGATGGAGAATTCTGGTTGCAGAGTTGACTCTGCGAAGAAGTGGATGATGGTGATGAAGTGGAATAGTAGTAATAAGAAGATTCGCTCTCAACATTTTTCATGGTTACATCCATTATGACGAAGGAAGAATGAGTATGTTCTGAGAAGGAAGAATGTGTTATATATATAGACTAAGAAGAGTGGTTCAATTTCTTTATCTTAAACCAAACATAGCTTTTTGGAGAAAGCCAGCGACAACAAAGTCGGAGGAACACGTTCTACACATTTATGGAATCAAATTTATTCACCTGTTGATGGAAAAAATTACAAATTGATTATAGGACATTGATATTGGTTTTTTAAGTCAAAAAGTGTTATGTTGGAAAGAATATGCATGTTAATTTTGATTCATATGCTAGAAAGTGAGACACACGTTGCTTAAGACATGATCCTATCATAAAATTGAATATATTTTAGGAGAATTTTAATTTAGACTTTAGTTTGCCACATCAATATAGAATAATGCTTTCATAGAGTAGAGTTTATCAGTCGTTAAGATTAAGAATATGGTACTCGACTCACCCGTGTTTACACTTTTCATCAAGTAATAATGGAAGAAAAATACGAAATTGTTAGATGTATAGAAACATTATAGAAAGAATGATAATATTTTGATAATCCAAATTTTATAAATCAACATATTTATCGATATATATTTTCTTTTACGGGAATCTGATCCATTAAAGTTCATCAAAATATTAATAAAAAAATAATAAATAATTATGTTTATCTTATTTTATGTAATCTAATTTTAATGTCATATATTTTGAAATAGATAAAGTATAACAACATGATATCATCAAGATTAATGTTAATGAGATGGGTTAGTGAATGTGAATGTTTAGGGAATATAAATCCAATTTTGTTTTAACTAATTATGTCTAATTCAATGCCAAAATTTTGACTGAGTTGACTTGGGGCCCTGACGATCATGAACTTGTCAAACATAAGTTCAAATTCAACCCTAATAACATAATCCTAATTAAAAATGATAAACGGATTAGATTTAATCGGTCTCTCACTTATTTTAAATTAAGAAGTAGATTAAAAGTTTTACCTTATTAATCCTTTTTATTTTCTGTATATTTTTTTCAGATAAAAAATGGGATATACTAAAATATATTGACGTAAATATTATATTTTTGGAGTTTTAATTAGATGTCTTTTTATCTAAAAAAAAAACTCTCATTGAAGAGAATAAGGTGTTTATATATTATCTTGATCTACATTTTGTAAAAAAAACAAGATTCCCTAAAATAATAAAAAAAAAAATCTGAAGTTCTTATTTTAAATCCACATAATTAATTTTGGAGAAATATCAAATATAAATGTGATTATTACAATTGCGGTGAGAGTGAGTATAACGTGTGTGCACGTGTTTCTTGCCCTCATGTTCATAGGATGATGAAATGAAAAATTGGATGAAAAATAGTGAACGATAGTCGCAACCGGTCATGAAATGAAAGTAACCTTTGAGGTCAATGACATTTCACGAATTTAACTCCACGTGTGCTTTTGACTTTTCCAATTCCGCGTGTTTATTATATGTGTGTATGCTTTTGACTTTTGTCCAATCAATTCAACCATATTTTATTAATAATTATTATTTTCAAAATTATCACTAAAAATTAATAATTTAGAGTATTCTATATTTAACATTTTTAATACATATTTTGTTTTATTTTTTAATAAATTAGTTTTAAATTATTTTAGTCCTTAATTGTTGTGATTAAAATAAATGCTTTTAGAAATAATATTAATTGTAATATATAATAATCGCCCCCCGCTGACTCTGTATATCACATCAACTTAAGTTGTATTATTAGGGTGAACTTTCGGCAAAGTCAAAACACAAATATGAACCGGAGACAGTGACAAATGTGGTAAGATCACAATCTTGAAATTAATGTGCGCCCATGTGGTCACAATTGGGGTACTATTGGGCCCTGGGTCTATAAACAGGGATTGGGATGGGACATATCTCATAGGAATAACTTTCGGGAATTTTCATCTTAAAAATTTAAATATAAATTTATTATGTAATATTATATTAATTAATTATTTATATCTTTATACTAGTTATAAAAATAATTTATTTTTTATGTCATTATTAATAATATAGTATTACTTTTTATCAATATATATTTAAAAAATAATATAAAAAATTAGTTGTTATTGTTTATATATTATATAGAGGTAAATTTTTAATGATATAACCTCTAAGTGTGTTTGAGAAAGAAAGTGAAGATATTAAATTAGATTGATTAAAATAATAATTATATTTTAATTATTTTAAAAATATTGATGTTTTTAATTAAATAAATAAATATTTTAATTTTAATTATATTTGTATTTGTATTCTTTATTTAATAATTTTTTAAATTTTTTTATATTTTCTTTAAGTAATATTTTGTAATTCAGTTTATTAAAAAAATAATTGTAATTATTATTATTATTATATCAGTAGTAATATTAATAATTATTTTAATATATAATAAAAATTATAATTATAAAAATAATAATTTTAAAATAATTACTTTTATAATAACTTTAATAATTATTATTATTTATTATCTTACTAATTTACATAAAAATAATTTTAATTACATGAGTAATTTTGTAATCTTTTAACTTTTTTTTATCATTTATATCAATTAAATTACTCATAAACTTTGGTTTCATTTCTTTATATTTTCTCTTAATCGAAACAACTTCACTCTTTAATTTTCTTTGTCTATCTATGTTTTTCCACTCTGTCAAATTCATCATTTAATCCAAACATTACGTTAGCGTGTGTTTGTTTTTGTATATGTACTCATATAGATGAAAAATGTGAATTGTTTATGTTTGTATCATCAATTTGAAGATAAATGCGATAAAGGATTTAAGGGAGGTTGTAGTTAAAGAGTTTCACTATTAAGGAGAAAAACAAAGAAACATAGGAGAAGGAGAGTGGGATGTCGTGTTACCCTCACCCATGTTTCTCACGGAATCCCACAATAATTACAAACAACACCTTCACGTGGCTCTGCGTATTCTAAGGAATCCTTTTGTGCATGCATCCCTTTCATAGCTTAAGTACATGCGACACATACAACTATATTCTTCATCCAAATTTTAGGACGCCATTAAATATGAGATAAGAGGTGGTCGTGATCGTGTATTGTTGGATGTTCGTGTGCAATAAGTTCATTGTGATGATTTGATTTGTATAGTGTGTATCGATCCAAAGAGTGGTTGAGAGATAGAAAATTTTGATTATGGATGAAAGAAACAAAAATTGGTTCTCATTTCGTTTAAACACATAAAAAATCGATTATCATATTATTTGAACAGAAACGGAAATTTTCATCTTAAAAATTTAAATATAAATTTTTTATGTAATATTATACTAATTAATTATTTATACTAGTTATAAAAATAATTTATTTTTTATGTCATTATTTATAACATAGTATTACTTTTTATTAATATATAATTTAAAAAATAATATAAAAGAATTAGTTGTTATAATTTATATATTTAAAAATAATAAGTGAGGTAAATTTTTAATGATGTGCTTGAGAAAGAAAATGAAGATATTAAATTAAATTGATTAAAATAATAATTATATTTTACTTATTTTTTAAAAATATTAATGTTTTTAATTAAAATAATAAATAAATAATATATTAAAAAATAAATATTTTATTTTTATTTGTATTCTTTATTTAATAATTTTATAAATTTTTTTATATTTTCTTTAAGTAATATTTCGTATTTCAGTTCATTAAAAAAATATTTATAATAATAAATATATAAATAATAATAGTAATTATTATTATTATTATTATTATTATTATTTTATTAGTAGTAATATTAATAATTATTTTAATATATAGTAAAAATTATAGTTATAATTATAAAAATAATTAATTTTATAATAATTTTAAAAATAATAATTATTTTTCATCTTACTAATTTAAATAAAAATGATTTTAATTACATGAATAATTTTATAATCTTTTAACTTTTTTTTCATTTGTATTAATTAAATCATTCACAAACTTTTGTCTTATTTCTTTATATTTTTCCTTAATTGAAACAACCTCACTCTCACCTCTCTTTTCTTTCATATCTATGCTTTTCCACTCCCTCAAATTCATCATTTAATCCAAACATTACATTAGCGTGTGTTTATTTTCGTATATGTACTCATGTAGATGCAAAAATGTGAATTGTTTATGTTTGTATCCATTAATTTGAAGAGAAATGCGAGAAAGGATTTAAAGGAGATTGTAGATGAAGAACTCCATTACATTAAGGAGAAAAGTAAAGAAACATAGGAGATGGAGAGTCCAATGATCATGTTACCCTCATCATCCATATTTCTCACGTTAATAGAAATCTCACAATAATTGTAAACAACACCTTCACGTGACTCTACGCATAAGAGAAGGAGATCGCAATGACTATGCATGCATCTCTTTTATAGTGTTGGAAGTCTCACATCGCCTACCTCATGTCATTTTGTATGGTTTAAATACATGTTAGACTACTCCACATATTGCCAATTGATTTTATGTTGGAACCTTTTGGAGGTCTGCTTATTCCTTCCAAATGTCTTCTACTCCTCTTGATAGTCCAAAGAACTCCAATAATGAAGGTCCTAAGAAACAAAACCCTCGTTATGTCGTGGTTACTGAACTCAGTTACTCCCTCCATCGCCCAAAGCATTATTTTCCTCGAGTGTGCCATAGACATTTTGAATGACCTTCGCGAACGTTTTTTGCAATGCGATCTCTTCATAATGGTAGAGCTCTAGGAAGAAATATATGGACTTTCTCAAGGAACTCGTCATGTCTCTAAGTTCTACACCGCATTGAAGACCCTCTAGGAAGAACTCGATAACTACAAACCCTTCTCTTCTTGCTCGTGTCCTGCAAAACTTACCACCAACAGGATTTCATAATCCGATTCCTTAAAGGTTTGGACAAGCACTTCTTTGTTGTGCATTCCCAAATCCTTTTGATGGATCCTCTCCTCGCTATCAACTGCATCTTCTCCATGGTTGTTCAGTAGGAAGCGAATACTCGCTTTATCTTTGCCTACTGAGTCCAACGCCTTTGTGAACACAACTAATCACTCTTTCTCTGGCAAAGGGCATGACTCTGGTCCTTCTTCCGCTGTCAAAGGAGCCTCTAACAAGAAATGCTCCTACTGTCACCGTCCTGGACATACCATTGACATGTGTGTTGAATTATTGGCAAGCATACCAAAATTATCAATCGTAGTATAGTATTTCGATTAAATAAAAGTCGATCCCACGAGGAACGGTTTCAATGAAAATTCCCAATTATATGCTTACTAAGTGGATTAAAACAAATTAGATTTACAATAAGTTGAATTGAAATTAAATGACAAAGAACTGTAAATTGTTGAGCAAAAATATCAATTAAAGGTACTTAGAATTTGTTTCCTTATCCCTCTTTTGTAATGGCTATATCAATTAAGAATGTCAATTAACCTAACAATGTTGATGCCTTCTACTCAAATCATCCATGTTGATTCCTCACACATGAAATTCATAAGAAAACGTAATAAATGTTGATTCCTCACATAATTAAGAGATTTTCCAGCATTAGGGTTAGGGTGTTAAGCAATTGATACATTCATTCCATTCTTGGCAATTAATGTAACAAATATTCTTATCGTGTGATCTAGGGTTCAAGATATATTTTCCAATCATATCCCAAACATCAAGAATAAATCATTCCAAAGCACAAAGGATAAGAATAATATCTCAAAATATCACCATGATATAAAAGAGTTCAAAAGAAGTGCACCAAATCCCAAGAGAATGAAGTTAGCCACTCATGTTGGCCATTATAATGCTTCAAATGTGGAAGAAATGAAGAATTGATGAAGATTGGACAAAACCCTAGCAGTAGTCGGGTCTCTTCTCCCAAAAACTGCTTGCTTTTCTTAAAACACATCTTCTCTTTTTATAGGAAAAATTGGGCTTTTGGGCTTCGCATCTTTCGTTCAAGCGACAAAACGCTCGCTTGAGCGAGTGAACTCCAGAGAAGAATAACTAACATTCACTCAAGCGAATTTTCTTGCGCTTGAGCAACTGACTTCCAGAGAAGAATAACTAATATTCGCTCAAGCGAGAGTCCATCCCGCTCGAGCGACTTTCATGCTGAAAATTTTCTTCCTTCCAATTTTACTCCAATTATGCTGACAATTATGCTTCTTACTCTTGTATCAAGGTATTCTCGAATTCATCCTATATTGGGAGAAAAATATATTAGAATTAACATAAGTTAAGTGGTTTCATAATAATTCAAGACATAATTATATCAACTTTTTATCACTTAACAATGTGTTAGGGAAAGCATGGCTATCCCCCTGGCCATCCTCGATACCTTGGGAGGCCAAAGTTCAACTGTGATGCCTCTGGTTCTTCCTCCATCAACAACGCAGTTGTGATTGAACCAATTGAGAAAGGAAATGTTTCAGAGGAGGCAGGCCCCATCACATTGACCTAGACCCAATATCAAACCCTAATGTCTTTGCTCCAACCACAGCAACAACAAAAATGCTTATGATGTAATAGGGCCAACTCTCTCGTTCAGCCCAATAGAGTGAACCTCATCAACACTCCAAATGCTAAAAAAAAATTTGTGTCCAGTGGTACCTCCTTTTTTTTTTGCAACAACACAACCACACCTTTTACACCACTCACAATGTCCCTTAGATCATATATTCGGGAGCAACAGATCATGTTGCATCTTCTCTAAATTATTTTTCAAATTATTCTAACATTAAACAAATACAAATAAGTTTACCTGATAAGTCTATTGTTACTACCCATATATCAGGAACAGTAATTTTCTCTCCCGAATTTATCATTCACAATGTTTTATTTGTTCCAGAATTTCATTTTAATCTTTTATCCATATCCAAACTCATAATGACTCATAAATATATTCTCATCTTCCTTTCTTTTTGCACTATCCAGGACAAGCGTACGTTAAGGATGATTAGTTTGGCTAATCTTCAATAAGGTCTTTATCATCTACAAGTCAACAAAGAAGCCAAGATTCTTTCACCAAAAAAAATCTTCCATTAATGAAAGTGCTACTAATGTCATCTCAAACTCCAACCTTTGGCATTATAGATTAGGACATCTCTTGGAAACCAGTTAAATATGTTATGTGAACAATTTCCCTTTATTCCAAAACATATTAATCAAAATTGTGACATTTTTCATTTTGCAAAACAAAGAAAATTGTCTTATTGTCTTAGTGAAAGTAGAGCTTTTAAAAACTTTGATTTGGTGCACATGGACATTTGGGGACCTTTTGCTAAGGCCTCAATTCATGGTGAAAAATATTTTTTTAACTATCTTGGATGATTTTAGTAGATATACTTGGATTGTCTTATTGAAATCAAAATTCGAGGTAAAAATACATGTTCAAAATTTTATTTCTTTAATTGAAAACCAATTTGATTCCAAGATAAAATGTATTTGGACGAATAATGGTCCATAATTTTTTCTTAAAGATTTTTTTGCTTCAAAAGGAATTATACATCATACCAGTTGTGTTTATACTCCTCAACAAAATGAGCGTGTTGAGAGAAAATACCAACATATTTTCAATGTGGCACGTGTTCTCATGTTCCAATCTGAATTGCCCAAACATTTTTTGTCTTATGCAATAAAAATGCAGTTTATCTTAATAACTGTATACCTTCTCTAGTTATAAAGAAACAAATTCCTTATGAACTTTTGCATAATAAAAAGCCTGAATTTTTCATGCTTAAATTTTTTGGTTCTTTATGTTATGCATCAACAACTAAGCCCAAATAGAAATTTGATTCTAGGTCTAGAGAAAGAGTATTTCTCAGTTATCAATTTGGTTAAAAAGACTATGTTATTTTAGACTTACAAAATAAAGACATTTTTATCTCTAGAGATGTTATCTTTTATGAATCTCATTTTCCTTTTAACAACAAAAACAAGGCCCAAGAAAAAGAAAAGTGATTTCCTCCATAAACTCCATAAACAGAGACCTTCAATCACTTTGATCCTTTCCAACTCACACCTCAACCCAACAATTTTACACCTTAAGACCAACTTCCATCACAGACTCCCATTTCACCTCAAAACTTATCTTCCCCAACAACTTTATCCTCTCCACAAATCTCGCCAAATAAAACTTCATCTCCTTTTCCCCAAATTTTGCCATCAACCTCTCCATCCTAGTCAATCTCACCACATATCTCTTCATCACCCCATCTAAGCCCTATTCCTTTCATACCAAGATGAACCACTTGTGGCTCTAAACCCAATGTTCGACTTGCGGATTTTGTTTGCTACAACATAGAGACCAAACCAAATCAATCATCGTTAACATGCAGGTATCCTATTCAATCTGTTCTTTCTTCCATTACTGAGTCTGAGTGTCATTATATCATGAACCTAACTTCTGAGATTGAGCCCCGAAGCTATCAAGAAGCAATTTTGAAGCCGTGTTGGAAAGAAGCCATGAAGGATGAAATTAAGGCTTTAAAGCTGAACAAAACTTGGGAAATTGTGGAAACCCCTAAAAATGTCAAGCCCATAGGGTGTAAATGGGTTTACAAAATCAAAAGGAAACCAAATGGGAGTGTGGAACAATATAAGGCGAGTCTCGTTGCGAAAGGATTCTCCCAAGTTGAAGGGATAGACTTCTTCGAGATTTTTTTCTCCCGTGGTTAAAATGGTCACCATACGAGTTATCCTTGCTCTAACTTCCATAAGCAATTAGCAATTGCAGCAACTGGATGTTAGTAATGCCTTTCTACATGGTGACTTGTCCGAGGAGGTTTACATGAAGGTTCCTCAAGGTCTATATGGGCATGAATCCTCATAGTGTTGCAAGCTTAAGAAATCTCTCTATGGGCCCAAAACAAGCAAGTCGAAAATAATATGAGAAACTCTCTAACCTCCTTTTCTCATCTAGTTATTCACAGTCACATGCTGATAACAACTTGTTTATCAAGCATGAAAAAGGGAAATTTAATGCTTTACTGATATACATTGATGATATTGTTTTAACTGGCAACTCTTTCACTAAAATAACAAAGCTCAACCATACACTTCAATCCAATTTTTGAATTAAATATTTGGGGGAACTTAAATACTTTTTGGGATTAGAAGTAAGCAGGTCTGATGATGGCATCTTTGTATCTCAACGAAAATATTTCCTTGAGTTACTTTCAGATTTAGGATTATTAGGTTTTAAACCAAGTTCCACACCTATGGATAACTCTCTTTGTTTAAAACAGGATAATTCAAGTGAATTACTTGATGATCCTCTATCCTATAGGCACCTTATTGGTCATTTGATTTACCTCACAACGACTCGTAGACATCGTTTTTGCAACTCAGCAATTAAGTTAGTTCATGGCAAATCCTACAAAGTCTCATTTAGGTGTTGCAAAAAGAGTTCTTAAATACTTGAAAGGTTGTCCAAACAAGGGGCTATACTTCAAACGAAATTCTCCTATCCACCTAATTGGGTTTAGCGATGCCGATTGGGCAACTTGCATCTCCACACACCGTTCAGTCATAGGTTATTGTTTCTTCATAGGGAATTCTTTAATTTCTTGGAAAACCAAAAAACAGAATATTGTGTCTCGTTCTTCCTCCGAAGCAGAGTATAGAGCCCTTGCTATTAGCACCTATGAGTTGCAATGGTTAATGTACCTTCTTAATGATCTCAAAATTCAGTGTTCTAAGTCAACAACACTTTATTGTGATAATTAGAGTGCTTTACACATTGTTACAAATCCAGTGTTTCATGAAAGAATGAAACACTTGGAAATAGATTGTCATTTTGTTGGAGAAAAGGCACAAGCAGGTTTAATGAAACTTCCTCCAATTCCATCATTTCGACAACTTGCTGATATCTTCACTAAAGCTCTTTTTCCTTGGCTATTCCATGTAAACTTGTCCAAGCTAGAAATGGTTGACAATCCTCTCCAGCTTAAGGGAGGTTAACAAATTTGTACAATATTCTTCCTGTTATTTATTATTTTGTCCTTTCTGCTATTAGAATTCTAGAATAGTATGAGTTGTATTTAGGACAATCATTTGTATATAAATATTGAATCATCCTTTGCTAAAGATAATAGAGATCAAAACATTCCCAAAACATTGTCATTCTTACCTTTTATCATCTTTCTTTTTACATAGCTCAAGCATATGCAACACATACAACTATATTCTTTATCCAAATTTCAAAATGCCATTAAATATGGAATAAGAGGTGATCCATATTAGATATTCATGTGCGATGAGTTCATTGTGTTGATTTAATTTGTGTAGTGTGTATTGGTTTAAAGAGTGGTTGAGAGATATAAAAAGAATTGATTATGGATGAAAGAAATGATAATTGATTCTCACAAATATATAAATAATCGATTCTCATATTATTTGAACAGACAGAATCGATTCTCCCTTAAATATTATTTGTTATGAAGATTGAGCGTCAATCTGGGCATTTGGTATATTATTGAGCTAGGATGAATTTCTGCCCTTAAGGGGCTTGTGCCTTAGCTGGTACAAGGCTTCCTATTGATCGATTCATGACTTCTGAAGCTTTGGGATTTACAGCTCCTTGAGGAATAGGTATTTCAGTTCATTTTAATTTTTATGAAATTAATCTATGTAATTATGCCTTGCATTTATGTCAAATAGTATAGATGCAGTTTCAGACCGAGATTTTGTACTAGAGTTTCTTTCTGCTAATGCCATCACAACTGTGCATCTTTCTTGGCTTGGTGAAGAGTGTATTGAAAAACATAAAATTCATTCTATAATTTTATTCATATTATTTTTGTACACATATACTATGATCTTATAGTATTTTACTCCAACAAATCAGGACTAAATAAAGAAAGTTCTGATTATACAATATTTTGTATCGCCATACAAACTTATATTTTAGCTAATCAAGTATCTTTATCTCAACACTCCCCCTCAAGTTTGTAAATGGATGTCATACATTCCCAACTTGTCCAATAATATCCTAAAATCTGACTTGTCACAGCTTTGGTAAAAATGTCTGTCAGTTGATCTTCAGATCAAATATTTGGCAATTCCAGAATATTTTTATCAAGCTTTTCCTTGATGAAAAATCTATTAACCTCCACATACTTCATCCAATCATGTTGGACAGGATTATGAGCAATGTCGCACGCAACTTTATTATCACAATACAACTGAATGGGACGTGTATGTGCATACCATAAATTCTGGAGAAGTAGTCTGAGCCACAAACCTTCACAAAGTCCAAGAACCATTCCTCTAAGTTCAGCTTTTGTACTAGATCTAACTACAACTTTCTGCTTCTTGCTTTTCCATGTGACAAGATTACCTCCTACAAATGTAAAGTATCCAAAAGTTGATCTTTTATCATCAAGAACATCTGTCCAATCTGCATCAGTATAAACCATCACATCCTTGTAGTTGAAGTTCTTCTTGAACATAGCTCCTTTTCCAAGAGCAGTTTTTATGTACCTTAAAATTCGTATAACAACATCCATGTGTTTTTCACCTGGATTGTGCATGAACTGACTAACCACACTAAGAGCATAAGCTAAATCTGGCCTGGTGCGTGAGAGATACATCAATCTCCCTCAAATCTCTGATATCTTCCCTTGTTAGTTGGAGTTTGATCTTCTGCAATGCACAACTTCAATCCCCTTTCAATTGGAGAATTTGCTGGTTTACATGCTGTCATTGCAGTTTCTTTCAGTAAATCCAATGCATACTTTCGTTGTGAGAGAAAAATACCTCACTTTGATCTTAAGACCTCAATTCCAAGAAAATCCTTCAAAGGACCAAGATCTTTCATCTCGAATTCCTTTGCCAAGTATTCTTTCAATGTCTTTCATACCTTTAGATCATTTTCCGTAACTATCATGTCATCAACATAGATAATAAGAATTGTAATCTTTCCTTCCTTTTTCTTTAGAAACAAGGTATGATCTTGATTGCTCTGTTGATATCCAAAAGTAAGCATTGACTTGGTGAATCTACCAAACTATGCTCGTGGCGATTGTTTTAGTCCATATAATGACTTCTTCAATTTGCATACCTTCTTGCTATGTGTATTCGGGATCTCACATCCTTCTGGTAGCTCCATATAAACTTCTTCAGATAATTCCTCGTGTAAGAAGACATTTTTTTACATCAAATTGTTGTAAGGACCAATCAAGGTTTACAGCTAGAAATAACAATACTCGAACTGTACTAATTTTGACTACGGAAGCAAACGTTTTAGTGTAATCTATTCCATATGTTTGTGTGTACCCCTTTGCCACTAATCTAGCTTTGAATCTCTGAATTATGTCATCTGCATTAAATTTCACAGTATACACCCATCGATATCCTATTGGTTTCTTTCCAACTGGACAATCTACCAATTCCCATGTTTTATTTCTTTGCAAGAATCTCATCTCCTCATTCATAGCATCCTTCCACCTGGAGTCAGCTAAAGCTTCCTACACACTGTTAGGAATAGATACAGTAGATAATTGACTTATAAATGTGATATTTGAGTTAGACAAATTCTGGTTACGAATATAATTACTCATAGGGTATCTTGTCTTACTGGTGAGGTCAGGATCATAAGTAGGCTTAGGGATACCTCTAGTGACACAATCTGGAAGAAATCTTTTTTCTGTATTAGGTTCTTGAGGGGACGATTGGTGTGGTATATCATCAGCATCAACAGGCAAAGTTTTTATCTTGATATGCTCAAAATCTTTCTCATTGTGTGATTGTTGATCATCACATTGTTACACACTTTCATCATCTCCTGATACAACTTTGTAACTTTCTTTCTCCAATCTGACCTCAATATCAATTTCTTGAGGAACAAAAGTATGAACTTCATCATAATTCTTCCCCTGAATTTCAGACTAGGGGAAAAATATATCAAAGTTTCATGAAAAACTACATCTATAGTAGTAAACATTTGCTTGGTTTGTGGATTGTAGCACCAATATCCTTTCTGGTGATTCGCATAGCGAAGGAACACACACCTTTCAGCTCTAGGAGACAACTTACTATGCTTGTGTAAGTGAACATAAGCAACACAACCAAAAACTCTATGTGTTAGTTCAGCAATTTTAGGACTTACTATTGCATTTGTAAGTGATTCAAGAGGTGTTTTATACTCAAGAGACTTGGACGGTGTTCGGTTGATAGTGTATACTGCATATGTGAGAGCTTCTTCCT